TTACCTGCCACAGAAGACTACTCTAGGAATTTTTAGAAATCCATTTTAAGTGAATGGAGCCTGTCTAACTTCTCAAGTTGGGCTAGTGATCTTAGAGATCCAACAAGGGAGCAGCATAAAAGCAGCTGAAGGCTGAACTGCAGTTCTGTGTCTCAACACAGGCAGAGTAAGGAAGCCACTTGACTTGTCAGTTGAGCCATTACTTAACAGGAATCTGTCTACTCAGCACACTGTTTTACACAGCTGAGTATCCACAGAAAATTCTGGACTTTTTGTTTTATCTCCTGTAAGTTTGGTAACTTTACACCACAAGACAGGAGGTAGAAAAGAAAGAATAAGATCAGAAGACAGGCTAAGCTGGAAGCCCAAGAAAATTTAAGGAATGGACTAGAAGATTTCACTAAACACTACTTCAGCGGTTTCTATGCTGAACGCTTGACATGAAGGTATCCCCATGACTTTTAAATGTTTTTATTATACAACAGTCAGTCCAAAACAGTGGCAGAAGCAATGATCAGATGTCTCAAAGGAATGGAAACTGAACCAACAGATGTGCTAGGTTCAGGTACTAAACTGCTCTAGGGCACTCAGGGACTTCTAAAAAGGCTACCTCTCCCTGTTATCCTTAGGCACCAGCTTTCAAAGTCGTCAGACAGGCTGCATCATATGACGCATCCACGAAGGCATCTTGCGAAGCTAAACAGAAGGCACTTGCCAAGCACTCTGAAGAATTAACAAACAGATTTTGGTGACATTTTAATGCTCTGCTCAGTTATTTTACACATTACTTTGTGTTTAAAAAACAAAACAAAACAACAAACTTCTGTGACTCCTGCACAATAGAATGGCTTGCTAACCTTATAACCATTTAATATGTAATAAGTACTGCCTATTAGAATTTGATTTAGAGAGTTTCAGAAGTGGCAGGAACATGTCCAAGTTCCGTTAACACTCAAATTTAGAGTTTTCATGAGGTCACAGTCCTGATCTGTAAATAATTCAGATGAGTTTCTCCATCCTAGTTCATAAAGTTCCTCAGAAAGGTAATGGCAGATCAATAAGAAATATCACAAGCTTGATATTTCTTGATATTTCTGACAAATCCAACACACGTACATTCAACCACTTCAACTTGCAAGCAAGTAAAATATCTTCAAATTGTTAAGGTGACCAAAAATTGCCAGAGACAGGACTCAGCAAAGATCATAATGTTTACATGCATTAATGCCAAGATCCATGCCACACTTACCTCTTCAAATGTGCCACTTACAGAAATGAACCTATTCAATACACAGGAAGTAGGTGGATATGGAAACAAAGAATATCCTTAAAATGCCATAATCCTGAGTCAAATAATAGTAGACTTTTTTTTTTGTTTACTATGAAAAATAATTATGTGGACCCACATTACATTTTATGGAGATTTTCCTGATCAGGAAGCTAAGCCCCTTAAGAAGTAAAGAACCACCATGTGCTGTCCTAGTCTACCAGGTCCCTGGTAAATCATGAACCTCGGAAAAACTAAGGGCAACTCCCTTAATTGAAAACATCATGTCCAACAAGTTTGAGCTTGACTGATCTCAGATCCAAGATGACATGAGATTGATTCAAGGAGAAAAAACAGTAAAGATAACTATCTTCTACCAGAGGTAACAAAGAAACGTCAGAAATTTGTAGTCCAAAACTGGATACCCACTTTATTTCCAAATGTCATGCACACTGCTCACATTTCCTACTGTGAAAATAAGTCCTTGAAATGAGGAAGAAGGAAACAGCAGCAAAAACACAATTACTAAGAGATGAGAACTTCAAAAGAACAACTAGTCTATGGTGATTCTAGGCCTAATCTATGAGAAGACCACGATCAAGAAAAGGGAGATATGCAGGCTTCCCAACAGTGAGGTCCAAGCTCTTGGGTAGGTTATCAGCCCTACTGCTAGGCCACAGCACAGCATAAGCAGCTTCAAAAGAAAAATGCAGCTCTTACACATGTACCTAGTAAGCTCCAGCACTACTTAGTTTCTCAGTCTCATAAAGGTAGCTGTCTATAGAGCCAAAAGACAAACCATGAAGCTTTCATATGACAGAGGTCTTCAGATGCTTGTTTTTTGGGTTTTGTTTTATATCCTGTGTGTTAAATCTTACAGTTTAAATTCAAACTAAATTCAAAGTCATTTAACAAAATAACCTAAATTACAATAATTTTAATGCATAGATTTAAAAACTGATAGCTGCTATTTATGCCTACATTTACTATAACACAATAAAGTAATTTATGTGAAAAAAAACTTTCAAGTAAGATAATATAGGCTGCCAAAAATAAAACACAGCAAAGAGATCCTAGCTAAGTGCTTGACAATAAATACTGCTTCCTGAAGTGCTAAAGCAGCTTTTTCCATCTTTTATTGCTTCTTGAAGAAATAAGAATATAGTTTCACCAGTTCAATCCTGTGACCACTCAGTTTTAAGTCATGAAACTAACTACAGACTGGAAAAGCAGAAAGACTTATTTTCTTCCTACAAACTCTAGAAAAGAGAAAAAAGAAAAAAATGAGGTGAGGTTTATCAGCTCTAACAATCTTTTGGAACGTAGCAACCCAGAAGCAATCAGTTCAATTAATTATCTATAAATAAAATGCAATGCATGCTACTTTCATAAGTGTATTAGCACAGTATTAATGTTTAAAATAAAATATTTTAGAAGTACATTAAACTCACAAAAAACCCTAATTTCCATCCAAATGCAGCTCGACGAGTTAGAAGAGGAACTAATCTGCCGATTCTGTATGAAGTTAATGTTTTTATTCCGATGCTTAATGCCTAGTTGTCTAAAGGCACCAGACATAACCCACTTCAGATAAGCAAGAAGCAATATTAAATATAACAATTTGCAAGTAAAATACGGCCTCTAAGTTGTAATGATCCCTAGCCAATAAAAATTAATATAATTAAATGTCTAAGTGAGAAAATCAACTATCTAGTCTGTCAACGTAAATTATTTTTGTAGAAGCAACTTAAGGTGCTGAACTTTGTCCTCAGCAGAAATAATTGAAGTTTAACATCTTCATGAGGTTGATTCCAAGTTTGGGACTCCTCCCACAAAAACACCAGAAGTGTCCAGCAGTTAGTGTGCAGTTCTCTGGACTGGTGTGAGCTAACTTCCCAGCTCCGAAAGAACAGACCTCTAGAGCATTCCTAGCAAGCCCAATACCTGCACCTCTTCTGCAAAAGAGATCATAAGAAAGCAACATGGATACACGGACTCCTCAGTGAGAAGTCGGTTTTGCACACATTTTTAAATACAGTAAATCAAGCATGAGCCAACAGTGTGTCCTGGCAGCCAGGAGGGCCAACCGTGTCCTGGGGGGCATCAAGCACTGCATGGCGAGCCAGTCGAGGGAGGGGATCGTCCCGCTCTGCTCTGCACTGGTGTGGCCTCACCTCCAGTACTGGGGGCAGTTTTGGGTGCCACAGGATAAAAAGGATCTAAAGCTGCTGGAGAGTGTCCAGAGGAGGGACAC